AATTTCAACTAATAATAATAATCTTATTTTAATAGAACCTATTTCCTTTAAATATGCAGCCATACCTATGTAATTAATTATGAAGAAGTTCCTCCTCCACAGTATTTATTAACTTAAAACAAACTTCTCAAAACTGTTGTTGTTGTCATAGATATTTGTTATCCTAATTCGTATTACTACGAAGCAAACAATACTTGATATTACGTCTTAGTGAGAGCAGCACAAAATAATGTTAATATTTTTAATTATAATAATGTTTGAAGTATTTTTATTTGTTTTCAGTGAAGTCGAGTGTGTTTGGTTTGTTCTTTTAAATTGGATTATGCATGTGAATAAATGTTCTTGATTCAATACATAACTAGTTTGTCTAACAAACACCCGAATTATCAAATTATCAACCATATATAACTTTCGTACTGAATAGGTACCAAATTTCAGTGCCGGCGGCTTGATGGGGCGATGGCCTAGGGCGAAAAATTCTGGCGGGCGCCCAGGTCTGAAGTTGGAGTCTCTTGCCTCTCCTGGTGCAAACCCTCAGAATTGTGCTCTACTCTCTGTGCATATGCATTTTTTTTTTTATTGAGAAATTATTTTATTTTACTTGGGATCAGCAAAAATCTAACACTTGATATTGCTTCCCTCAAGTGGGCGCCACAATATTTTCGCCAGGGGTATTGGTGACCCTTACGCCGGCACTGCCAAATTTATTATATAAACCTATAGAAAAAACTACAGAATGGTCTTCAATAACAGTTGAGCTCTTTTTTTAATTTAATCGGGCCATGAAATATCTACGCTAATGCAATCGTTTAAATAACTTCATAGATAATGATTGCACTTGCATTAAGTGATTATTTTCCACAGAGATGGTAAATTCTAAATTATTTAAGAATGTGTAGGTACTTAGCTGTTACCTAAGGTAATTTTTCAAACAAATTATAATTATTGTGTTAAGCGTGTTTTAGCGTGAATTCGTCAACTTTAATGTGGAGTAGATATTTTATTATTTTAGAACAAATTCAAATCGAAAATGACTTCAATTTTATTTAAAGTTGACGCATTCTGCAGCGTTCTAATCTTTCGTAAAATAAAGAAAATCAGATTTTCGTCTCATTGTTCCAGGTGATGTGGATTTCTTTAAAACTATGATGCAAAATATGTTGCCGATAATGCCCATGAAGACAAAAAACTATTGGTCACATTATGATATGTCTTACGAGTGTGAGAAATGTAAACGGAAGTACCGACACAAAAGCACGTACAGAAGACATGTGACCTACGAATGTGGCAAAGAGCCTATGTTTAGATGTCCCTTTCTAGATTGTACATACAAAGCGTATCAAAAGACTCATACGGATGCTCACATCAAGACAAAACACAAACTAATGGCATTAGAATATAAACGATGATCCCAAGATCGTGCAAGTATTAAGAATATTGTGATATTAAACGTTAATTAACTCTAAATGAACGTAGAAGTTTTATTCAAAACATTTGAAGGTAAAAAAATTTACAGACCTATTATGTCATGAGCCTACACATTTTACAGTTATTTCAAAACCACAAACTTAATTTTGAAATAAGTAATATATATATAAAATAATCAATGCCACTTTTCGTTGTAAATGTTATAACTCATCAATGCCTTTACCAATTTGACTAATTATTATTATTGTGGTCTTAAATTATTCATGGAAGTCCAGAGAAGGTTTGTACCTTTGAGTGAAGAGAAATTAAAAAAAATCTTGAAAAAGCGTAAAATTTACATCCACGCGAGTGACCGCTAGTGTGATCATAAAAAGCACCTACTGAAAAAATAAGCCACCTCCAAACCGAACTGGCTTCACTATGATGTATTATTAAATCTAGTAAAATACCATTTTAAACTTACCGTCATTTTCATATTATTGTCTATGAAGACAATATTATAAAACGTAGTTTTATATTTATTATTGTGGAGATCTTGCATAACGATAGCTTCACAGCAGTTTTAAATGCAACATAAAATACCTAATTATAAAAATAGCAATTCTAGGAAATGAATATATTAACCTCTTGTCTGCCGGTATGTGGGACATAATAGAAAACACATTGTCTCGCGTATATCTGCGCTCCGGCTTAAAACCATGGCTTAAAATGCCTTGTACTCACTAATAACATCCAACTACGCCAAATCCTTAAAAAAAGTATGACAAGGAAATGTCAATGTCAACTCTAGTGTCGTAAAGAGTAAAAATACGAAAGTGGGAATGTATTGTGAGATTTTAATAGTTCTTTTTTAAAATGAAATAATTGTTTTAATATATTTGTGGATTAGTTAACTAAATATCATCACAATGAACCGTCTTGTGTGCATGAACCGTTGTTACGTCAATACATTAAGAAGCAATGTTGTTATTAATTCCTCAATACTTACTCCCAAAAGGCCGATACAGCCTAGTTTATTTATTAGTCGCGGGACCCATGACCAAAGGCATAAAATTAAGTCAACTCTTAACTATATGATAGCTGTTGGAGTAATGACCGTAGGTTTAAGTTATGCTGCTGTGCCACTATACAGGATATTTTGTCAGGTAAGCTGGAGATAGCAGATAACCTCCGTTAGATAATCGCTATCATGTAACTATTGTTTTGTATTCATTCAAAAACATATGACCAGGATCAAGATAGGTTGTAAACCTTACTTTGCTTAGTCTGAAAATGCGGATAGGTGTTGGCACTGAAAAATAATGAATTAGACCACTAATTATTCTATACATAAAATGTTATTCCAGGCTTACAGTTATGGTGGCACAACAGGCTTAGCAGAAGCAGACAATATTAGCAACATGGCAGCCATTAAAAACAGACCAATTAAGATCAGGTTTAATGCTGACACTGCATCGTCTATGCAGTGGAACTTTAAACCTCAGCAGATGGACATCACTGTGAGTTATACAGGTTTATACCTCATAAAAACATTCCCAATATTAGTATAATTCATTTATAGAAAAAAAAAACAATATAAAGAGCTTTATTTATGTGTCTTAGGATATTAATAATAAAATATTAAATTTACAAAACAGTATAAGGTTTATTTTTAAAGTGAACATCACCTGCTATACTCATCTATGCTGACAAGTAGATAATATTTGAGATATTCTCCAGGAAATTTAAATAAATGTAATGAAAAAGAAATCCATAACCCAGTTCAAATTAAACTATTATAAATTTGTTATGATACTTACAGGTGGTGCCTGGTGAAACTGCATTAGCATTTTACACTGCCCTGAACCCCACAGATAAGCCAGTGACAGGCATCAGTACCTACAATGTGATCCCATTTGAAGCAGGCCAGTACTTCAACAAGATTCAGTGCTTCTGCTTCGAGGAGCAACAGCTTAACCCACATGAGAAGGTAAAATATAAAATTTTATAAATAATTTAATGAAACTTGTAACAAAGACTTACCCATTATTCTCCATAGTAACCTATTATAGTTATTAGAATTTTATAAGAGGAAGAATATTTCCCAATTATGGCAGGGTTTTAACAATTATTGGGGGAGACAGAGATTCAGTTGTGATGATGATGATGATAAATTATTGAAACATTACTTGGAATCAACAGGCAGATATAATTTTATTGATATTAACTTCCAAATTGCCTCAACCATCATTTAATTATATTGTTTAGTTAAAGAAATCTAATAGGCCTTAAGACAGATGATATTCAGATGACATTCATAACTGTAACAAATTATCATAATGTATTATTTCCAGGTGGACATGCCGGTATTCTTCTACATTGATCCAGAGTTTACTGATGACCCAAAAATGGAGTTTGTGGATGAGATTGTGTTGTCATACACTTTCTTTGAGGCTAAAGAGGGCATGAAACTACCTGTGCCCTCATATGTCAAGTAGAGTATTAGATTCTAGATAAATGAAGTTTATTTACTATGCATTCACTTGTAAACAAATGTTTAATATGCAAAAGAGGAATGTTAACCAAAGCCTTAAGAAATAAAGGTATGTTTGTTTACAAGTGAGAGTAGAGTGGTGTACAGAAATATGAATTTGTTAAGTTTTATTATTGAAATAGACATGAGCCAGCATCTTTGTTGGTTTTTATTTTCATTATGACTTTTATTTCGTTAATGTGTGTTGTTATCAAACTCTGAAGGGGATATTGTGATGCAGCAAACACTATTCCAGACTCGATGCTCCAAAGTAAGTCAAAACTACCCAACTCAGTTTAATCCACAGACACTATAGTCAGAATTTTGATTCGATTCTTGATTTGACATGACCTATTGTCATTTTTTGAAATAATGATACCACATATAACAGTGTAGTGATGAACACAAAAATCGATAAACAAACAGTGAATCAGTTTCAGGAAGGCATTCAAAAAATTACGGGTACCGAATAAGTTAAATACTTATTTTCTTATCTTAAATTTCTGCGCAGATTGGCGTCATGCGTTAGTGACGGCCATCGCTGAAAATCAGCGCCGCGAACCCGTCTCGTACGGGGTCGCTGCATTATGCTGAGCGTGGGCCCTTTCGCGTGCTTGGACGCATATTTTTCTCCTACCGTCTACTTTTGTGATATTGTTTTTACCTTGCTCAATGTATTTTTATTTTAACTTTATTTTATTATCTTGTTCGTTTTGTGTCTTTTATGCGTCCCAGACGCGAATAAATACTTTTTCTTTCTTTCTTTCTATGTTCCTTCATGATCACATTTTTTATTTATTTCGCACACAATTACAAAAGAAAAGTCTCAGATCGTTAATTAATTGTCAAAACTAAATTATCGGATCAGAAATATTTTATTTCCTGATAAACTTAGTTTACGAGGTTAAATTTATAAACGAGAGGAATCGAATCAGAAATATTCGATTTCCACATCCAATAATTTCGCAACGTCACTATTTAATACGTGTCATAACGTTGCAACATTGAAATTGTCAAATCTGGAATGGAATTACAATTCCGAGTATAAGTACTCACAAATTCGGTTTAATTAATTTTATTACACTTCAAATTTCTCCCATCACAAAAACAAATACTACTTAACAATTTCTAGGACTTGATGGCAGCGGTGACCGGGTATCCCCTGCGGAGCCCCATGCACTGGTCGCGGTCTATGAAGAGTGTCGTCGTCTTGTTTCGAAGCTCTGCCTCGAGTCCAGCGCGGACGCCTAGCAGAGTCTGATGCGTGCCCTCTGCTGTCGCTATCTTTGAACGAAGAGTCTCCATCGTCTCTTGCAGATCGCAAACTTCTTTTACCAATCTGAAACAGATTTATTGTCAGATTTCAATATTCCATACTTGGCATGAAGCCGCGTTACCTCGAATTTTTACGTGAGTAAACTATACAGAATATTCAGCATTTTGTCATTAAACGTAGTTATGTCGTAAACTTCAAAATAATTTTACAGTTTCTTGCTTGTATTTCTACGTTTTGGAGTCAGCACCTAGTGTTACTGACATAAGATTTATTCTATGCACCTATTTGACGTTTCAAAAGTACCTGTTTGCCAGGTTTAGTTGAAGTAGGTAAATTTTTTGACTTTACTTTCGTTTTCGTCTTGGCAAGCTAGCTTAGTTTAAAACAATATTCGAAAAAATCGCAATTGTTGTTCTTATGTCTTACCTATTCTGTGCTTCATCTCTGCACTTCTCTAGATGTGGTCTGTTGGTCCTGGCCTGCAGACGCGTGTGCGCGACCTTCATAGGTTGCAATTTGTCTTCGATGGCCTTGTTCAGCAACTCCAGCGTCTTCTCGATATCAAATATCTCTTGTTGTATCTGAAATATTTAACCGTTTAATAACCAGAATATTCATATTACTTATTTAAATTTTTTCGCCTGTTGCTTCCGAAATCATCAAAGTTGACTACCGAATGCTACATAACTATCCTTTAGAATTTTTTTAAGTTCATAGCAAACAGGAAGGCAGACAGACAAGCGCGACAACTTGACTGATTTTAGAAAATGTAATTGTAATCATTAGGTTTCTGACCTTATGCAGATGTAACTGCAATTTGTTCTTGATTTCGATAGTTTCCGCAATGCGTCGTGTGAACGCACTGTTAGTGTTGCTCCATTGGTCCCAGATCTCTGTCGCTGACACGTTGATCAGATTCTCTGTGTCTGGAAAATGAAAATAATACAGCATGTCAGCTGGATCAACGGTTTCAATAAGGAAAAAAATAAGTCATACCTTAAATGTATTATAGACGGATGCCCTCGCCTGGGGAGACGAAGAAAGACTCACTCTTACTGCCTAAAAAGCAATCTGTTGTTCGATCTCTCATGCAGATGTGTGGTTGCGGGAGACGAATTCACCCGTAAATAATTAATAGCAACCGTGTTAACGCTGATTTTTGACTACCTAAATATCCCCATAAGTTGTCTTCATTGTCACCATCACAATTGGTGGAACTATAAATAGTTTATTGAGTAATTTATCATTTGGCAAAGTTTTCAATTGTTTCCGTTTTTGCCAGATTTGCAATAGCACATGAAACAGTATCTAGTGGTTGGGTACCGGTGAGCATCTGTATGGCCTTGGCTCGTTCAGACTGGCTGCGCTGCAGCGTGGCGGCGGACGCGGCGGCCCAGCGCGCCGTGTCGCACACTGTCGGGTCGTAGCGCTCGATACCCGCGTAGAACTGTAGGCCCTGTTACAACACCACAAAATTCACTCAATGACATTGTTTTTTCAGTTTATAAGTGTACAAAAGCTATTAATGATACTGTAAATTATATAATCTCGTTATCCGGCAATCCAATCTAATGGAAAAAAGATATTCACTGCTGAATAGGACCTTTATTAAGGTGCATATTTATCTGAGCATTATCTCTCGAACCTCTTATCAAAAATCCCACAGTGCCTTAATTAAACCAGAATGAACAATCAGCGTGTGTTGATGTGTGTCAGTGATGACATACGGTAGGTACTGCGACGTAGTCCTAAACTTCGGGTCTGCTAGAGACACTTTAAGTCTCTATGCTATGCTATGCTATATGCTTGGAATTAGTTAGCTCGACTAAATCCGCAATGAGGATGTCGCCAAAGAACCAGAGTCACTGACATAGCTCTTAAAATCTGCAAGCTCAAATGGCAATGGACCACATCGCTCGAAGGACTGACGGTCGATGGGTCAGAAAAGGGGCCAATCCAGACCTCCCGCTTGGTGGACCGAAGACCTCGTCAGTCACAGGGAGCCAATGTAGATATGTGAGTCGCGACTTTTCGTTTGGCGTGGAGAACTAAGGGGGAGGCCTTTGTCCAGCGGAGGGTGTCTTCCGGCTAATGATGATGATATATCTCGAATGACTTTGCCAGTTTTCATGGAAGATCCCAATTCATTACTAGCTACTTAACAACGTCTTTACGAAGAAGAAGGGTTAACTATGAGCTGTTGTAGATACCTTGGAGTAGTTGTTGAGCTGGTGGCACATTGAGTCGATGCCGAGCGCGTACTCCTTGTTGCGCATGTCGGTCTCCAACTCGTGCTGCGTCGCACGACAGTTCTTGGACTGCGCCCGCACCTGATGTGTAGGAATACTGCGATAAAACTTGCTCCAAAAATTAACAAACTATTGTGTAATGCGTAGGTAGGTACTCAAAATGAGCATAGGAATGTAATCTTCATAACTACAAGAAAAGGCCTAATGAAGTTTTTATACCTAGGCCATTTTGACCCTGACAATAACGTTGTTGTTGGTAATTAAACCTACCTTTTCAAGCATATTGCGGAATTTGTCCTGACACTCTCGCAAAATAGCGACTTCTTTGAGAAGTGACTGCTCTACTGCATCGTGAACCTGTTCCAAACCTGTAGAGAGAACCAATGGCATGATAATCAAGATAAAGAAACAAATGTACCTTCTTAGACTAAACACAGGAATGGTATCGTAGCTATATGGCAAGATGGGTAAAATGCTATCCGGCTCTATTTATTTTTTGGTACCTACCTAAAGAAACTTGTTTCATAGGAAGGGCGAGCTAAGTTAAATACATTTGGCTGCAAAACTCGTCTTTAGTTAAAGAAACTCAGGAAACGTTTTCTCACCCTGTCGCTTCTCCCTGTGGTAAAGGCACTCCTGCACGATGTGCAGGGGACCTTCAATTCCAGCGATAGCGCGCTCCAACTGCCGGCGAGTGTCATTCAGCTTCTCACACGTCGATACTAAACGCTCCATTTCTATTGAAACCTGGCATTCATAAAATAACAATTAAAACTTTATTGGCAAATTGCATTATCATCAGACTATCTTATATCATTGTAGCAACATACCTTTTGGTTGAAAAAAAACATACCTAATCGTGATTCAATCTAAATGAGGCTTATACCTCTACGCACCTCATTCCTCCAAAATGTAGTATCCGTAATTCGTTCACCAATTCTCCTACCCGAATCCCTTTGGCCTTGTGTTCCGATTTCATCAGTTTCTCTGCAATAATCCCGCAGTTCGATACATTTTCTCGTTATACATTGGTACCTTACCCTTAGGAATGTTGTTACCTTAGCATCCTCATGATGTCATTCCTCACGCGTTCGGAGAAGTTCCTCTTAGCATCAGACTCGTTGTAGTTCTTGATGCTGTTCTGATTCCACTCATACTGCGTGTAGCGCGTGTAGAGAGCGGCGCGGGCGGCGTGCTCAGGACTTCGGTCAAAGCCCGTGACCAAGTTAGGGAACCGAAGTGGTTCTGCAGCCATGCCCGCCGGAGTATAACACGGGTCCACCATTGTATTCGTTATAGGCTGAGACGGCCTAAGAAATAAATCATGAAGGGAAAGTACTTAAGCTTAACATATATTCAGAAAGACGTTTTTGAAGAGGGAATGCATTAAATTAATTCTCTGGGTATGGCGAGAGAGAGTGCGAGACCCTTGCTGCATGAAAACCCCCCGTTCCTTCTCCAGCTCTATGCCTATGCCAGGGTACCTTATTGCGCTTGACCCGCAAATATTGATTGAAATGAAATGAATGAAGTTTTCAGATAGAGCTAAGTTTGGTGTATTAGTACCCTCGTACCATGTGCTGGTACTAAGTACGTAAGTATTTAATTTAGTCAGATAAAAGGGTCTTACATAGGGGTGACCTCGATTTCCTCGTAACCCATGATAGGTCTCCAAGGGTGCTTCTTCGGGGAATGAAAACAATAGCCCACTTGTGGGGGCATACTTGGAGCTCCAGCTATCTCTTTTACCGGACTCCATTGTTGGAGTTGCTGCAAAAAAAGAAAATGGTTTATAGACGTACGTTTATAAAAAAATACCCCAGAAACTTGATATAGGAATATAGATAGCAACCGTGCACATAGAAACTTCCTTGGCCATTTTTTTAAGCTGTAGTAATCCGATAGAACTAAAATTTTGATTAAAAGCAAATTACTTCATTAGATTGAAAATTGAAAATTTCGTTGCGTTATTAGTTTGGCAACATAAAACAATAATGCCCCATTTCTGTCAAACAAACATTTATTTATAGTTTTAAGAAAAATATCAAAGTTTAATTGTGTTAACTACGGAGGCGTAGTTCATATCATTTAATAAATAGCAGAATAATAATTTCGGGAAAATAAATTTAGTAAACGTGTTTGCTTGGTAAATTTGGTTTCGAAATGTATCCTGCCTGAGATTTTAAACAGTATTACCACAAATATTTTAGTGAATAAAACAACTTTGAATAAACCACACTTTTTAAGGAAGTACAAATCAACTTTTACACTCTATGGTTTGGTCAAGTGTCAGTTGTCAGTACCAATGTCAAATTCCACAGTCTGATTCAGTTTTGACATTTGTCAAACTGGGTACAGTGCTTATCGTTGTGCTCAAGAATTATTAAAACTTATTGTAATTAAAATTGTTATTAAAGAATATTTGAGATAAGTGTAACAGGTGCTGTTTAATCATACACATGTCAACATGAGTGGGGTGCCCGAGAACGCGCCGCTACGTAAGTAAAAGAATTAATAATTTTAAGTATAACCATTGGATTCAGTTATTAGAATTTTAATTACTTTATTTGTTTGTAGACTGTCCTGGGACACAAAGTGATGATGCTGGGAAAGCCTCAGCGTGCGCTGGATGCCCTAACCAGAACATATGCGCATCAGGTTAGTATCAGAACAAACATCAATATTACATCAGCTATTTGCATAGATTTACCTGTAAATGTTATTGTTTATTAATTGATATAATCGTCTACTTTTATAGCCTAGTGACTACATATTCTAGACTCGCCTGAATATCTATTTTGATCTGTATTCATAACTACTTTATTGAAAGTAATTTGATGCTCTATGGCTGTTGAGAAGTGGTTTTGATACATTCTTGGATTAGTATATTAACAGGCTGACATAAAATTAATCTTAAAAATATGATATTGTCTCCAACTTAGTCTCTGAAAGTTTCTTCCAATTAACTCAAAATCAATAATTGAACAACACCTTATCACTGTTATACTATTATCAATGTTTGGAGATGTGTAAACATTTTACTTGCAAATGTTTTTTTATCACCACTTAAGTTATCTATGTATTGTAATGGATCCTCACCATAAAACCTTTTTTAAATAAACACTGATGCAATTAATGGCTTCTAAACTGGCCTAATGTTATCAAGTTGACATTATCTGACCTTAATTTAAACAAATGTTGTCCATCCCAAGTTTCTATTGTATTTATTTATTTCTATAATATGAAAGTCAAAAATAATTAATTTCAATTAGACTTGTACAGGCACTTTTGAATGTCAAACAAAATTTTAAGATATAAAGTGTCAGTCTGTCTGTCAGTTCTTTTAATGAAGCTATTTGCTTGTTCCAAAGTGTAGATTCTAATGGAGAACAACGAGCAAGAAACTCCATGGTTACTCTTTTTAAATCAGTTTCACAAACATATTCCTTATAGGGAATTAAGCGAAATATACATTCTATCTTAAGTAATCAAACCCAAAGTGAACATTTGCACTCCTTTGTGCTTCTATTGTGTCTCTAATTACTATAACGGAAAGGTTAAACAGTGTATTCTAATGGTTAGTTTCCACTAGATAATTATTGAGTGTAGTTTATAAATATTACCTAACTACTCAAGCAAAAGAAGGATAAAAAAAATGCATAGCAATACATATAGATCTACAATTTCCTTTGTCAATTTGTTTATTACAAACACTTAAAAATGTTTTATATGTTTAATAGGTGCTGCATCTGGACCTGACCCAGCTATACAGATAATCAAGGACCGACTGTCAAATGTGAAGCACAAAATATTAATCCTGTCTGGCAAGGGTGGTGTTGGCAAGAGTACTGTCACCTCTTTACTTGGACATGCTTTGGCTTCTAGGAACCCTGATGCTAATGTAAGCAGAATTATAAACTGATATTTAATAAGGACACAATTGTCCAGTTATGAAAATTGTTAATTGACTAAAGGAGAATAATTATTAAGTCTTATTATATGCTTTCTTAAAGTACATTTTGTACTGCAAATTGAACATGTCATGTTACATGAGTTTGTTGCACATAAAAAGTTACAATAACGCATTTTACGCGGTGGCTAGGATACTAGTGGCGGCACAACGTGTCGCGGGTTCGATTACCGTATAGAATAACTCTTGGAGATCCAATAATCGTTGTTCCTGTTTCAGTGTGATGTGTGAGTGAAATTGTCAATTTGCAAATGCACCCATGATACGGAGAAATCTCAGTATAGGGCAAATCAATTTTGATTTAACTATGCAATGTGCAGTATTTATATAGACATGAAGATTAACCATTCTTTTACTCTAATAGCTGGCTTAATCACTACCTAATTAAGCCAACTTTATAAATATCTTTCCTTATTTATAAATAAATTCTTTTATACAGCCTAACCTGTTCTGACCTGGCTTTAAACACAGATAAAACATCATCAACAACTATAAAAAATACTAGAATAATCAATCAATGACCCATTATCTAGGGAAGCCATTGACCCTTTTATATCACTGCACTTTTATGTACTTGAGAGAGTGCTTCTTGTTGCTTTTGAGTAAATAAAATTTATCTTATTTTATAGAGGGTGTGGCTGACCCACAGGATAACCCTTGTGATACTTAATCGGATTTTTATTGACACAGCTACTTATGCACAGCTCTGACCAGACAAAACCAGTCCAAATTGCAACAAAATGTTTTTCGGCGAAGTTCAAACTTACAAGAGCACAATTTTATCACTCAAAAACATGGTATTATATTGGTAGACACGTCACGTTTTATATTCATAGTTTTGTTAAGTAATTATACAAATGAGCACCTGTGTTTAATTTCACAGTTTTTTTTATTATCATAAAAATCATTTACCCTATTGTATCTCGAACGTCGTTCGTACGCGTTTCCGAATTCCATTTTCGCGGTAATATTATATTTAAAAAATAGAATCTAAGCACAGATTACACGTGTATCGATTCCAAAGGCGCGGCGGCAAAGATTTTGCAACGGTTCAGCCTAACAGACGATGTCACGAACTGGTACAACCTTCGTGGGTCGTATATAGGTCAGGTTTTATGGGTTATTTATTATGGTCGATGCATGAAAGCAGCGGTAACCCCATAAACATAGAGGTCTGTGATGGTTTGTGTATAAGTATCCTCATTATAATTTGATAGAACATACCTATACCTAACATGACATACATGCTGGTACCTACCTACCTAATTTAGAATTTTCTACTCTAGGATTCTATATTGTGTCGTGGGTACTTTTACAAATCAAAGTTACGCATACAAGATTCAGAACATAAGGCATTACAGCCTACAAAAATAGTTAATAGTTAGCCCACTAATCCCAATACACATAGTAACCGCCGCATCACCTGCGCGGTCAAATTTTTTACAACTTAGGCATGGAGCCAACAGCAGGTTAACCTACTTTGATCTACGGAAAAGATTCATCATCACCCGGAATTTGTCCGATGCTAAAATAGGCACTCTTTTGCCCTCTACGTCGAACGACAAATCGCCACCATGCATCCGTTGGCTCTCCGCGACTCTGACGATGTCGTCGATCCGCCTAGCGGGAGGCCTGCCCACTCAACGGTTTACGGTCCTTCGCCACAGAAAAGATTACATAACACAAACTGTTCTAAATACCAACTTACGTTATATGAATGTTGTTTGAAATCAGTGTAATAATTTGCAGGTGGGTATATTGGACGCCGACATCTGCGGGCCCAGCCAGCCACGCGTGCTAGGGGTGCGCGGAGAACAAGTTCACAACTCCGGCTCCGGATGGTCGCCTGTTGTAAGTCATTCATACTTGAGCTGCTTATTGAAAACCTAAGTTTATTAGCTATAAGAGGCAAATAGACATAGTAAACAGTGTGGGAGAGACGACAAGCTTCGGCACAAATGGGTCGACTCGACCGGAGTGATACCACATCCTCACAGAAAACCGGCGTGAAACAATTACAGACTTGTGTTTCGCCGTGTGTGTGAGTTTACCGGAGACAGGAATCTCGCCATCCCTTCCCAATCCTTAAATATCCGAAGTTCTTAACCCCAGAAGATCGGCGACGCTCTAGTAACTCCTTCGGTGTTGCTCCTTGGGTGTCCATGAGCGGTGCCGATTGCTTACCATCGGGTAATCCGTCTGCTTGTTTGCAGACCTATCCCATAATCAAAATATATATACATATGGTTAATCTAATTACAATAATGCTGTAATGGTACGTCTAACATGTATTCACAAATCATAATATTAGGTTAGGCACCATTGTACCTAATGATTTAATTTCAATCTCGCTATACTCTCTTCTGACCTAACCTATCTGGACTTAACGAGGCAGTCAGAATGATTACTTGAATATTTTCAGTTACTTTAACCATGAGTCAGCAATACAGAACGTGATGTCATCTTTCTATCGACAATGCGACAATTTAAAACGACCTTAAACATAAATCGTTTCGTTTTCTTTTCGTGGAATACGATATACAACACCACTTGGTTAAAAGAAGGGTGTCACTGTCAAGATAATTGGTTAATTTATTTTCTTTTTTATGTTCGTTATAAAATTGTTTTTTTTTTCTTAAACATCTTTCTCTTGTAGTGATTACTGGTTATATGGCGATAACTAATGTCATTTACAAATAATTACGGATAAGAGTGTGGTTAGTTTTAACCACTAGGCGACCATACATTTTTGTCGATTATTATTTTGTTTGCATAAGTCTGTAAGTTTATCAATGTGAGGCATGAAAGCGTTTTTTTTTCTCTTTAATAAGCCAATCATCATCAGTCCATAAGTGCCTCTAAAGGCCTCTTCTCACACGGAGAAGGTTTGACCATTAATAAGCCAATACACATTTTTATTTGGATTGAATAACATATTTTTAAGTTTCATTACATTACTGTCCACAGTACGTCACCGACAATTTATCTCTGATGTCAATCGGCTTTCTACTGGGAAGTCCTGATGATGCAGTCATATGGCGAGGCCCTAAGAAAAATGGTAATTACGATAGACACCCCATTTTCTATGAATATTAATGATAAAGTACATTGCGACGTCACAATTACATAACTGTTAAAAGCACACCTAATCCTCTTAAATTATTAAAACTAAAACAAAGGTAAAGTCAGTGTCAAGTACAAATAAATTAATTTTGATTGAGGAAACTATCCGATTGACAATTGAACAGTGTTTAAAATTAAATACTTTTAGCAATTATTACACCGTCACGACTCTGTACAATATTCATTACCTTTACATATTAACATATAATAAAAAAATGTAAATAAGTAAAATAAAAATAGTGTGATAAGGAAACAATAAAATATTTTTTCTTTCTATTTTCCATAATTTATTTAAAAATACGGTTAACAAACAAGTAAGTAAATCTAAATATTTGTTTTTCAGGTATGATCAAACAATTTCTAAGTGAAGTGGACTGGGGCGAATTGGACTATTTGCTAATAGACACACCTCCAGGTAAACTACTACTTTTTAGCTAGCTTGTGAATGTTCCTATCTTATATTGTAGATCTGCAGTGATTAGATAACTTCTACAAGAGAATTAATACACAGAAGAAGATAATTGCACGGATTATTTATTTATTAGAATCAATATATACAGGATGTCCTAGAACTCAACGTCAAGCCGAAACGGGGTGACAGAATTGATCATAACCCTCACTAGAAAAATGTGAAAAGAAATCTTACTTGCTTTAAAATTAAGAACCTACCTCGCTACCTACCTTGTGCGAATCAACAACATTTTTACTGAAATAGCAAAATCGGGCTACTCGAGGTTTTAATTTTTTTTGCTCTTTTTTAATATATGGAAGTAACAAGTATTGTACCATTTTAGAATTCTAATAAAATGCGCCAACTTTTAATGCTACTTGCCAAGACACTGTACTTGCCAAGACACTGTACTTGCCAAGACACTGTAGTACTAGTAAATTTTTTTAAAGGACATAATTTATAATTCGTGGTTTTACAAATAGTGTCAATTCTAGAAAACTTAGGGCAATTGTGTCATTATTTTCAAAATCGGGAGTCTAGTCCAAAGTCTCTCTCTCTCTACCTCTCTTGGTTTCTGATTATGATGATAGTTACTTGGTTTATAATCTATTATCCACTAGATGGAGCAGAGAGTGTCCACAGAAGTTATCCAAGATATTGCGACAGTTACATTAGCATTACACTTTTATTAGGTGTATGAACTCAAATAATTTTCTTTTTTATTGATATCCCCAATCTAGGTACATCAGACGAGCACCTCTCAGCAGTCCAATATCTTACATCAGCGGGTTTGGACGGAGCGCTGGTGGTGACGACGCCGCAAGAGGTGGCCCTGCTAGATGTCAGGAAGGAACTCCAGTTCTGCACCAAACTAGGAGTCCCTGTCTTAGGAGTGCTTGAGAACATGTCACTGTTTATTTGCCCTAACTGCAAGGTATATTTCGAATTTTTATTTTATAATTTTGTCCTCAGATTTACTCACAGTACTCATATAATCACTTTTCTTGTTCTAATCTTATCTTTGTCAGTATTCTCGGAATTGGATTTTATTTATTTTATCTCTGCCTTGTCGAGATACGGCCAGGGCAATGTGAGTAAAGAATGTTGTGCCCACAACACTGGAAAATTCTGAGTGTGGGGCAACATAAAAAGACCCTAGAAATAACAATTGTGATTTTTGTTTTAAATAAATTCTGCTATATTTGTTTCCAGACCCGTAGTGAGATATTCCCAGCCACGACGGGCGGGGCTGCTCAAATGTGCTCAGAGCTAGGTGTGCCACTACTTGGTAGTCTGCCCCTAGACCCGATACTGGCGCGGTGCTGTGACGACGGGCGAGACTTCCTTCAAGAACTACCATCTTCCCCTGCCGTTACAGCTTTACGGAATATTGTAGACAGTAAGTATTTTTGTAAATTGATAAGTCATGTCAAATTACGTATTATTTTACCATACTTTAATACTTTTTGTTGCAGAAATTGTTGCCACTTGTGAAAATACCTCCAGTTGAGCCTCTGGTAAAGACGAATGAAGCCTTATTAAAAATATACATAATGCTGTTATTTATAAAATAATGACCTAGTCAATTCATATTTTACAAGGTCAGTGTTAAAATGATATTGTAAACGTCTGACAGTACTTACTATTTTAGGTGGTGCGGCTGACACACGTTATTTTTAATGAATTTATTTGTGAAAATATATTATATTACATAAAGTTACGTGAAATTGTGTTTCATTTACGAATGGGGACTGAAAAAGTATAATTTAGATATACCTACTTGCATAAAACAGACAGAAAATAATCCTTCGTATTTATTGTATTGCTATGTACCTACAGTACATAGCTAGAACCTATGGTAATGAAGTCTTTATTTTCGTCATAATTTAGAATATTATCAATCATCTTTAGCTATAGAGCCATTGCCAAAGGTTATTGTTTTTTTTACATATGCAACACTGGGCACCATGTTGTCAGGTTATGTCAACTTCACGTGCCAAACTGACAAGTCTGACAATTTGATTTGACAGCTCCATCACAAATTGGTATTATTTAGAAAACCGGCGAATTCATAAATAGTTAGCCCAGAGATATTGGTTTTAGACTACAGTGCACATTGCTTACTTTAGTTGAACATGCAGAAGTGAATATAACGTACTCTCAGCTTATCTCGCGAACTCAATATTGCACAATAACACAGTTCGTTACATGGGCACTAGCGTAGCCTCAAGTCTTCAAAGATGCCTGGTCATTCCGCTGACGATGAGGATAAGCCTTGCAGGGCATGTTCGGACTTCAAGACGTGGGCCAAAAGTCAGAATAAAGTGACTTTCACAACACCGAACAAACAGGTGAGGTTATGTTTCGTAATAGTTAGAAGGTTCTAGTAATGTGCCCCATATTATCCCGGCCTGACTGGATACAGAGCTTCATCAACCCCTGCATTATACAAAAAAAATCCTAATATTTGTTACCATGTTAGTATTGGAGAAATGCAACAGCTGATTGCCACAACTTGTAAAGCAAGAGAAACTGTTCTTTGAACTTGAAATAAATACATAAACATGAATGTAATACATAATTTCCAATTTTAATTATTTTTTTTAGCCTAGTCCAAGACCTAAAGACTGTCCTCTAGACAAGGATGAGTTAGGCACATCAACATGGAGGTTCCTCCACACAATGGCGTCATATTACCCAAAAAGTCCTACAAAGAAACAATCTGAAGACATGGTGCAATTTTTCAATATCTTTGCACAGTTCTACCCATGCGAGCCATGTGCATTGGATTTCCAGGAAGAGTATGTATATTCTATACATTCATTCTTATAATAGGTATGGCATACCTTGTCATAGGTTTACCACCAGGAGAAACAGTAGCCAAATATGAATAGAAAGTAAAATGAAAAAAAAAACCATTTGTAATGATCATAGTCTTTTTATGAGATGGTTTGGCAAGTGGGCAGACTTTCTAATCGTTTTTGGTATGTCCATGGACTTAAGTGTCCACATACCAAAAATGATAAGAGTTATTGAAGCCAAGTAATGCTATTAAATCAAAGTAGGTAAAGATGTGAAACTCACTTAACAACAACTTGTTGCTTTCAGCATAAAGATAAACCCACCAAGGACAGAAAACCAAGATGCCCTTGCAAAATGGTTGTGTGAGCGTCACAATACAGTCAATGTCAAACTTGGCAAGCCCGTGTTTGACTGTTCCAAAGTGCATGAGAGGTGGAGAGATGGCTGGCTGGACGGATCCTGTGATTAACAGTCATCTTCACAGACTAATGTTGAGTATTGATCAATAAGTGGTTTAATATTGTTTACGTCTGGCTGTAAATTTTTGGGCCCACAATTGTGATATTATAGTTAAGTGCTATATTTATTTTATACCTCAATAAAAGATGTACAATATAAAATTTATAATTTTTCTTATTTTAATGCTGTAAATACAATAAATAACTAACATGTTCAATGTTAAATCTACAAAATTTATGACAGAATGATTTAATTAGTATTGTTATATTGAAACATGTTTTGTTAATCCCTTATTGCAGTATGAACACATTTGTCTGTGAACACTAGGTAGTGTACATTTGAGGCTCAGAGCCAAGTATTAGTGAGTTGTAAGTAATGTTAGTTCCGTGTTTTAGCCACTGTGATGTATTCACGCATTTTGTTGTAGTATTCAAGCAATTTGTGATTTTCATTAATTGCACAAGGGTTCAAATGAGTTTTGTACAATTGTATAATGTGTCAAAGTGTACCTATGTTGTTTCTATTTGTTACTTTTAAATATAATAAAGACACACTCTATTGAGTACTTTGAGAATTTTATTTTTAACTTGTAAATAAATATTTCAATTTTTATTGATACAAATTATTCTGCAACACATTTTACCTCCTACTGCTATGAGAAAATATATCAAGTTAAATACCTTATCATCTTATTCAACAGATAATCTTATCTCACAAAAAAGTTAATGGTTGCTACCAAAACGTGACGATTGTATTTACTCCAAGAACATTGGAATAAATATAGCCTGACCTGCTAAACCAAATCGGGCCAGCCGTTCCTGAGATTTAGGAAGACATTTTGTATATGAAATATGTATGTTATAATATTTTATAAGGTATTGATTGAACCAATTATATTTTGTATACTTTTTTGTACCTAAAATACATACTTTAATTTTGTTCCATAACTTTGGTTCTGATTTGGCTAATATAATGTTATGGTGGAGCTGGAGTGGTAATAGAAAATTACCCGTCCACATTCAGTGTTGTGTGTACGAGAGTCAAGCTTTGGTAGGTACGAATGTGTCGGCTCGACCGGAGTGATACCACGGCCTCATAGAAAACCGGCTTAAAACTACCACAGCGTTATGTGTGAGTGAGGTCACCGAAGGCCCAATCCTTCCCCTATCCCTAATAAACCCTAATCCCTAAAAGAACGGTGACGCACTCGTGACCTTGGTATTGCCAGTGTCTATGGGTGGCGCCGATTGCTTACTATCAGGTAATACAGCTGCTCAGTTGGCGACCTATGATTTAAAAAAAAGTTAGTTGGAGGAATTAAGTGTCATAATTAAAACATCCTCAAAATATTGACAAAAGTTTATTGTAAAAAAGATTCAAATTAATTAATCAGTTCACGTTATTAACTTAATTATCTGCCAATTAACAGTACCTACATAGTACAGTACAACAGTGTTGTCATAAGCTTACACTACATCTTAATAACAACAGTTTATTCAACATCACTGACACTTATCTCATGTTTCTGAGAGTCAAGTGAGGTGTCATGGACACTCGGCGTGGCGTGATGTCTGTCCTAGGGCTGCTTGGGTTGTTCTCATAAGAATTCCATTTCCCTCTCTATGCCGACGAACTTCAATTGCTCAGTTGGCCCATATCTGAAATTGTAGATAAGTAATGATGTTTTACGAACACTGTCATCATGATAGCTGCCTGGTTTATTTTCCAAAAAGGCCCTATAGTCTATATTCGTCCTAATACTATAATACCACTTATTACATCAGATAGAATTTGATACTTCATTGCGATTGCATCACTTTTTGGCAAAAACGTGTTTGCAAGCATGATGCAATGCGATTTAGTATATTACAGGTTTAATATCATACTTAATGCAGTTAGAACTAGACATGGATTAAGATCATTGTCAATTTTGAGAGATTCAATAATAACTTAGGGGTAGAAGCAGCAGTGTAAGTCATATAGCTGATAATAATATATGATGATGATGATGAAATAATGATTGGTTATACGAAAAATGATTAAATTTTGAATGAACACAAACCTGTAATCGAAGAACAGTTCCTCTCCAGGTTGTATGGCTCGCTTGGCAAAGATCCCGATGCGATGGTCTCCGTTCACCATCATAACCTTCGCGTAACAGTTCGGGTTGATGGAGTGGTTCGCGAAACGAATCTTGTTGCCTTTACGCGTCGCATCTACTACAAAGTCTGTGAAAAATATAGAAATTTGTTACATATTGGTAATTTAGAGTTGATTTTTCAATGGCAAATACTAGTACCTATTAGAAAAATATTTTATCAGTAAAGATACAGATATTGGTTGCAAAAAATACAAAAAATATATATTCTTGTACATATTTATGTTGCCTTATTTTAATTTAATTTAGAATAAATAAATCGTCTTTAAGTTTTCTTCTTGTTGCACCTACTATACTCTCTCTGCGTCACCTTAAGGCTAACTAGTAAGAATGCCTATGGCATTAAGTCCTCCAATGTAATTCTATCTTGCATAAAGATAAAATATAAGGACACAATTTTTTCAATAATCAAACTTAATGATAGTTCGATCAATGAAAAAATCTACATGATATGTTTTAGCTGTCTACTAGCAGTCAATCAATACGATTAGCAGCAGAGGGTGAGACGGCTCATTGAACAACAGCTTACAATAAAAATATAATTAGATATTTACGTCTCTAAGTTTCATAAAAAAGATGTTTTCAGAACATACAGTTAAAAGAAGACTTCAAGTATATTGTGTAATAGCTTACCATTGTTGAGGTTGAAGAGGAACGAGCACATATACTTGTCATAGACCTTCCCGCGTCGGTCCGCCTCGTCCTGTGATATGATCTCCCCGCAGTACTCCGAGATGAACTCGTTCTTATGCGCCGCGTCCTTCAGGAAGATGCCCCAACCAGCCACGTCGCTTGGAGCCAGAAGCAGGTGCTTGTGAAGACCTCTGTCAGTGGCAGGTTCAATATTAAATAAGGAACGTAAAACGGATCTAATGTGTAAAAGTCGTGAAAAAATGTAGTCGTTTATGAGTTGATTTGTAAAAATAATATATATACTTTATAAAATTTTACTCGATATTAAATATAAAAAACATGTTTTTGATTTTCTTTTTTTCCTTTTTATAAGAGGTAATGAATTAATTTTATCTTAATTTTTGAAATGTTAACAGGTATTATGTTAAAAAGATTCTAGCTTCTGTAGCTTGATTATTTTAAATAAGGGAATTTATGATAGGATTTTCTATCAACAAACTAAAATGTTCTATCAGTTTTTATACTTATTATGTGAAGATCTGTTGCTAACTCTGGTGTAAGAAAGATAATAATAATATTTAAACATAAATATAGGGCAGTAAAGCCAGGTGCTGAATTAAAATGTTGACGTTTGTATTGAGAAGAGATACTTACGTTTTATATATATACGATTCGAACTAGTGGAAATGTGAGCCTACGCATTATATAAATTCAATATATGTCATCCGATTTACTTCAAGGAATATCTGAATGGTGTCTAAATTTTCTGAACTTGCCTTTTAACGGATTTGGATTGGATACGAGAAACACGTAATATTTCGCATTTTTTCTTATTTTTATATGAAACACGCATTTTTCTCTGTGCGTTTACAAATATAAAATTTCACACACACATGACATCCAGATCCGGAATAACAATTCGTGGATTACATAAAGAGTTATTTCATGCGTTTCGTAGCCAGTTGCCCAGCTACCACGCAAATCGTGTAGTCATATTTAAAGTAAAAACTGGAGTGAAACAATTAAGGCATTGTGTTTCCGTCGTGTAAGCGAGGTTACCAGAGGCCCAATACCTCCCCAATCCTAAACCTCAAAAGGTCGGCAATACACTCGTAACTCTTCTGTTGTTGCGGGTGTCCTTGCGCGGCGCTGATAGCTTCCCATTAGGTAATCCGCCAACTTGTTTACCGACATATTACATAAAAAAAATTAGTTGAATCTTCTCCACTTGTAGTTTTACCGATTGGATAGGAAAAGCAAGGTATGTTGAGGTTGCATAGCACTAGTGAAAAGCTCTTTGGTACATTGCTAGGCAACTAACTGTTAGAAAAATTTAATGTCACTCGTGAATAAAAAGAAGATCATGTCGAATGTGTGCAATATATAAAACTAAATAAATAAACAAATAATCTAAATATTTTGTAACCAAATAAACCTAAATTATCGCTATAAAGTGTCAGTGTTGTCATACTGGAGAAAACCCCTACTATCTAGCCGAAATCTAAAGTGGGAAATACATCGATCACGATTTGGTCTCCGGAGCTTCCAGATTGGTAAGAAAATAAGTAGACCACGTTTAATAGGGAAGAGAATTTTCCGGCTGAAGGGGAACAGCAACCTCTTGACATAGTTGAGCCTCTGAGAGTAGAGGTGCCTCGACTAGAAGGGGAAGAAGAGGAAATTGTAGTCGAGCCCCTGAGAGATGAGCCCCAGAGAGAAGAGGAACCTAGATATAACCTTAGAGACAGGTCAACTCTTGCTCCCCCTAAGAAGTTCGATGACTACGTCTGCTTTGTAGGCACAGAAAACTTTCCAGAGAGCTACCATGAAGCAATAAGTAGAACTGACGGTGCGGAATGGCGGAAAGCCATGGCCAGCGAGCTTCAGTCACTCAAGGAGAATAATGTATGGACACTGTGCGAGCTCCCGTCTAATAGAAAGGCGCTACCATGTAAATGGGTTTTTCGGATTAAACGACACCCAGATGGAAGCATAGACAAATATAAGGCGCGATTGGTCGTTAAAGGGTTCAGACAACGGAAAGGGCTAGATTATGAGGAGACATATAGTCCGGTAGCCAGGATGTCTACCATTAGAGCTCTTTTAAGCGTTGCTGCACAAGAGAAACTTCATTTAACACAATTTGACGTCGCGACAGCCTTTTTAAATGGGAAATTAGAGCAGGAAATATACATGTCACAACCTCCTGGCTTTTCTGATGGCTCTTCGAAAGTATGCAGGCTACAGAGGAGTCTATATGGCCTAAAGCAAGCTCCTCGTTGCTGGAACATGTGCATTGAAGACATTCTGTTGCAAAAAGGATTCACACAGAATGAAGCTGATTGTTGTCTCTTTACAAAGAGAGAAGGGGGCAATAAGATT